TTATTCCTGACGTTTCTCTTCATCATTTGAAGAGTAATTGTAAATAAACTTACCATCTGTTTAAAAAAATAGGGAATTGTCATTTAGTATTCGTGGGTTCCGTTTAATTATCGCTGTAAACAACGATTATTTCCGCAAACAGCGTTAATCAGTTGTTCTTTGTAATGATGAAGTGTTTTCTTTGCGGTACGTACTGAATTCTTAAATATTATTTTGATGAGCTTTAGCACATGTCTGGGGATGTGCGGCAGAAATGCACCACAGTAAACTCAAAGTTTTTCAGAATAATGCACTAAGAATTATTACTAATGTTCCAATCGAAATTTTACGTGAGAAAACTGGCATGGAGACGATTAAAATAGGAGTAAGGAAACTTGTACGTACATTATATTTTAAAAATCAATTCAGTGGGAATTCTCAAATCAGATAGTTAGGCCAGTATGATTCCATGTTTGATAAACATAGAAGACCGCAGGCGCTGTTAAGGGACCGATTTGTTGTACTACGAAGTTTTTACATGTACCATACCATTTACACATATTAAAATAAATGAAAGTCCCTTTTGGGTAAAATGATCCTCATTTTAGCCGTCTTTCCATCGGAGTTTGTCCTGAGGAAGTAGTCCCTAGGGAGCATTTATGGTTGTCCGTGGTATGGAACAGACCGACAAGCCAAAACGACTGACGTGACGGCTGAAGGAGATTATAGAAAAATACGGATAACCTGTGCGTTATATTGTATTGTATTATTACCTCCAGTGTACTAGAACTTAAAGTCTGTAGCCGCAAGTTAGAAAAACCTAGTGAATGACCACATTATTCTTCTGTCTGCTGGACTGCTGGCTAACAGTCAGTGTGCATCCGAAAGGTCCTGCGACCAGCCATGGCGACACAGATTTCCTTAGTTTTTCTCTGTCTTTAAGCAAATTTTGATATTGTTCCCAAGTCCGAAGTCGCCGCTGCATGATTCTCAAGCAACCCTTCCGATTTAAACTCATCAAAATTTACCCCCTTACTGTAGAGGCGACTAACTTACTTGCTTAACTGTCCATATTTATTTTCAGACATTCACTAACAAGCAAATCAAAATTCCACCGTCTCTGTTATCAAACTGTTACTAATTATCGCCATAACGTCTTCACTTTTACTTTATCCTTGCCAGAAGGACGAGCGGGCATTGCCTGAGAACTTTCTAACTGTAAGATGTTCTTCCTCCACCCCCGCCAATTTTGTATTTTGTTCCACTCTCTTGCTGTCCTTCCTAACTCTGTCTCTCTCTCTCTTAATCAGCTTCAAAGGTTTAATACGATCTGTCTTGTATCTTCTGCGGTAATCGTAATTGTTTCTGGCATTATCGTTACGCCGAACGTTTTGTGGTAAATTTGTGTGCCATGTCAGGTAACGTATACTTTCCTTTGCGGAAATACTAAAGTCAGTGGAGAGTGGAAGACAGTTGGTCAACCATTGTAAACAAATATAAAGCCACATTCTGAAAGGCTGAAATCCTTTCCGAGGTGCTAAAATGAAGTTTCTTTATATAAGGAGATACGGTGCCATAGTTACGCAGGTACACAAAGATAATCAGAACGACTAGAAGCCTTTCGATGTAGGGTGGATACATGGTAATCATCTTCGGCAGAGTCCGCAGTGGAAATGATGAAGGTGACATAATCGTTACCTTGAGAGCACAGTCTGTAAAATGATGATCCTTTGTCTCACATCTAGGACATCACTTCGTTTTATCGTCTTATTATAATAGTATCCTCTAGTCTTATTACTACAGGTGTATCCGTCTTATGGTTCTGAATGAACCTTGGTTTCCTTCGGAACCCTTTTAGCGAGTTGTCTGTTCTCTCCCGGATATTTCAGAATACTACGAAAAGATCACCATTATGGTGATTTTAACACCAGAAAATGCTTCGTGGTGTTCGTTCGAATTCTTGAAGCGGTAATAAGTAGGCTCGTGAATTTATGCATAGTAACAGATCTATGAAAAGTGTGATAAACTTTTAGATCGGTTATTCAATTTTAAAAAAATTGTGTTAGGAGATTCTCTAAAGGTTTGTGGCAATGGTATATTCATTACAGGAAAGCTGTCAATTGAAAACGCTACACAACAGTTTTATACGAAAGCGTTATCCAACACTTTATTGTTCTTATTTTAATTTGCAGTATTACAGTATATTCCCATTGGTACTGCAGTGACTCGCGTAAATTTAAACAAACATGGACCTGATGATGATCATATTTTTATCGAAACATAAAGTTCGACAACACCAACGATCTAGTAACAAGGTACAGCGGGGTACTGGAGTGACGCGAAACGTCAATTTGTTGTGTGAAAGTAAAGGTACTTTGATCAAAATGTTTATAAGATAATTTGTAAACAGGAACGAATTATTTGATGATGGAATTCCGTTACATTGCGTCCTAATAAATTATCCGGTGATCGTAAAATGGAGTCAGTTCTTAAACTCGCTGCTTCTTGTACCTATGAAGTTTATTTAATTTAAATGACCAGAGCATTTGTATATAATTATTAAATCTACAATTTTCATGAAACGTAGTCTGAAAGCCATGCAGTGGAGGACATTATCATTTATATTTTTTATGTCCTGACATGAATAATACCAACATAGTAGATGTGCGAACGTCTGAGATGGAAGCCACACTATCTCCGCTTAACAGGTCTTAAAAAATTGTTAATTTTTTTATGAAGCAAGAAATGGGCATCGTGCAAAGTCTGCTTATTTAGCTGTTTATTTATAATATATTATAATTAACGAACCGCTGTAATTAAGCATCTGGAATTTTCCATCCAGGTGTACCATAAACATTTTATTAATTTTCTTATGATTTTTATGTTTTACAAGTGTAGCCGTGGCTTCGATCAACCCTTTGGAGGTTATGTCTGGAAAATTTAACGCAACATAAATATATGTATACTGGTAAAGATTATACGCAGACGTGGATCACAAAACTGTGCAAGTATTAATTTCTAGATTATACAATTTTTAGCGCGTAGGTTGAAGCATATGATTGGAAAAAATACGCCGTAAGCTACGTATGTGCGTGTGTGTGTATTCAGTGTACCTAAGTCCCTAAAGCTATTGGCTGATTTTGCCAATACGAAACTACCACAACGGTATCGAGCGTGATTAACATACACAATTACCCATGCTTGTGGCAGAATATGAACCACAGCTATGAATTCAATAGAAGTCAAATTTTCCGCGTATATTAACTCATTCTTTTGACCTTTATAGTATGTCGACGTTGTCAATTTAGTGTATAATTAGCTGCATATTATTGTTGACTTTATTAAGATAGAGATACAGGACATAGGATATTTGGAAGATGAATGCAGGATCAAAGTTTGGTGCTGATCGGAGTGCGAACTACGTACACGATATAAAATGCAGCGTAGTAGACGAGAATTTAGTATTTAACTTTATTTAAATTCTGATTCATAAAACGACAGTCAATACTCCTAATCTCCGCTGGATAAACTGCTTTTCTGGCGGGATTTACGTTATTTTCCTCGGTCTTTTGTGGAAAATTTCAGGACATTTCTTTTATATCGCTTTCGGTTACATTAACACAGATTCTCTACCACGTCAGCATCCAGTCAAAGGAACATGTAAAGCAATCTAAAGCGAATATTTTTGAGAGATTTTGAGTTGTTCATGCCTTCGGACTCGAAGGTGGAGGCTGTATGTTTGTCTTAAACGTTTTTATCTGAAAGTTGACACAGCGTTACAACCCAAAAGTCTAGTACCGACATGAAGAGTTTTATCCCCACAACCAGTGGACCTGATTCATCATTTATCTTATTACACTAAATCACCGAGTTTTCATTTGGAAACGGCTGATCTGACTCGGACCTTTTGTTCTATTTCACAGTTCCCCAGGCGGATGTAGGGACAATGCAGTGATCGGCTTCCTGGGTTTTTAAGCTTTCTTATAAATCGCATTGAAATGTCAGAAAGCTAGAAAATATATCTAGTGAAGCAGCATCCTGTCACTTAATAAAGTCTTCTCGGGCTATCAGCCGTGTTAGTTGGTGCGCAATCGCCGACGTTTCGAGGACCATCTCTGTCCTCGAAACGTCGGCGATTGATCACAAACTAACACGGCTAATAGCCCGAGAAGACTTTATTAGTGAAAGCCGCGGTGAAAGCTTAACATCATATATCCTGTCACTTCTTGGATTCAGATTAGTGGGAAACTTTATTGCATGACGTTGGAAATTACAAAATATTATCTCAGATTAAATTAACAGCCCTCGGATAGAATCGTGTAGATCGTTGCTGCCCTTATGCGAATTTAAAAGAATTTTGCGAACTCTGAATTATGTCTCTTTACTCCGTCGTTAATACAGGCGGTTTGCCTGTATTAACAACTGCCCCTCCGACAAAATATGTATGTGGCCCATCGGTTAGATTAAAGTCCTGCTTTATATGTAATAACAGAATGAAAAGCATGAGGTGAAATCTCGTTGTCGCTGATGAGATACTTCAAACAGGTGTTCCTGATTACACTGCCATTTCAGTTTACGGGCCTTTCCCAATAAGAGCACAGGCTATTTCGAAATTAAGCTGTAAAAACAAAACACACAAGTTTTTCAAAGAAATTATGACGCGATACTTATGGCACGCTACTTCTGGAAATAATACATGGTCTTCCGGTTTCCTGTTTGTAAGAAATGTTATCACTACACAACCAGTTATCTGAAGAGACTCGCCCTATATGAAAATACAGACACAGTTTGTTTCTGAAGTAGGCCATAAGTGACTTTTAAAGAAGCTAGATAGAAAGGGAGCGAAGGAAAATGGAAATTGGTAAAGTCGTCATAAAACATTTTCATGACT